ATGCTGGCCCCTGTCTGGTTTGAAAAAATTGGAACAATTATAAGTTCAAAAGTTTCATTGAGGAGTTTTATTCTGATTTTTAGAGTTGCTCTTTTTTTTTTTTTTTAACGGCATAAAATGATTTGAGCTAAAAGAAACATTATTAAGCATTTGGTTTTTGTTTGGTTGGCATTAGTATGAGGCTTAAAGACTACAAATGCTCTTCAAATAAGAAATATTTTGGTTCCGAAAACTTGCAATTATGCCATTCCTTTAATGAAACGGTCTTTCATCTGTTTTTTGAATGTTCTTATTCATTCTCTATTATTAGTGCTTTAATTCCTGGAATGCAAAGTTTCCTCTTTAGGCCCACTATCTTGCAGGTTTTTGAATGGTTAAAAAGAAAATATAAAGGCAAAGATAAGGTTAAAAACTTCTACTTTGTGCTTATATGCTGTGTCATTTATCACATATGGAAAGAGAGGAATGGTAGAAGATTTGAGAATATTTCAAACTGTAACACTACTTTTTCTGTTCAACATTAAAAGAAATATTTCTAAGAAGGCATCCAATTGGAAAAACTCATTGGAATTGCTTGTAAAACCCCTTGAAGTGCATTTTTTTAGTGTAGTTAGTCTGTACGAACCGACTTTAGTACGGGACAAACTAAAGAAAATTATGAAGAATCTATATGGTTCATATGGACGAACTTGTACGAGCTTAGACGAACCGTCAGGATGAAATTTGTCCAGAGAGAAAATCGTCCAGGAATGAATACACTTCGTCTGGACGAGATTTGTCTAGAGGGCAAATCATTCCGGGACGAATAGGAATCGTCCGGGACGATCCTGTTTGATAAGTATTGGAATTGAGATATTTTGGATCATTTTGAAGAGAGAAAAAGGCAGGAGAGAAAAAGAGAAGGAAAAATAAGAGAAAGGCTTAATTTCGGAGGCCGCGGAGCGCTTTTCATCCGTCATCGTTGTTGAAAGAATTGTTTGTCTCGAAGTAAGGAATCCGAATCCTATTTTTGATTTCAAAGATTTCTTGTTTTGGTATTTTCCTGCTCAGTTTTGTGTTTCCGTTATCGAAAAATGTGCATATTTTTGTATTGACGAAGCATTTACCGCGTAACTTTTGATATGTTATGGAAATAATGATTTTGCTCGATTTGAGTATTTTCTGGAAAGTTTTCACAGAATATTTTGAGTTCTGTGCAATTTTTATCGAATAGAAAATTATCCGGATGTTGATAAATATTGCTTCAGTACAAGTAAAGTCTTGAAACGCTGTTTTACAAGATTTCTAGTAATTTGATAATTTTCTGAAACTTTGCATTTTATAACGACTTCTGTCAATTATACGATATTTTAAGGGGTTTTCTAAATTGAGCCAAATCATGTTTATTGGTTGCAATGCGTTGATGATAATGATGAATGTGGTTATATGATTGAAATTATTATGATATTATTGTGATACTACTGTGTGTAAAAGACAAGTAAGAACTGGTTGAACCGTTGGTTGGAGATTGATTGACCTGTACAGGATGGTGGGCTGACGGGCTTTCCTTTAAATACGATTTGGTGTTATCCTCAACTGATCACGTGATTACTGAAGGGAGTTATAAGGAGATGAATACTGTGCCGACGGGTAAAGATTGACGACTCTTGCCACTATGAGCTCCAAAAATTCCATTTTTGATGTGATTATGATCTGATTCTGGCCTCTCCGCGCCATCGATTTTTTGGACCTCCGAAGGAGCACCGCTTGTGGGGTACGAACGCAGAGGGTACGACCGCACTATCCCTGTGGGACAAAACGATCGCAGACCTCTACACTCGACACATATATAATATATATCTTAATATTATATATTATATTATGATAATATATATCATATTATATAGAGAAAGAGGGGAAGAATCGGGAAGAAGCCCGATCAGAGACAAGGAAGAAGCGGAGACCACGGCTAGGGCTCGGGTTCGGGCAAGGCGTCGACATCGAAGGAGGCCGGGACAGGCGTCGGAGTATAGAGGAGAACTGGCGAGGTCGACGGAGGGTCAGTGGGTTCAACGGAGAGCCGGTGTTTGGCGGTGTGGAGCAGGCGTCGGGCTTCGTTCGTCTGAGGTAAGTCTTCCGAAAATCCTTCTCTATTCCGTTGCTCTGTTCCTCTATGCGATTCTGAGAGTGTGAGAGTGAATGAGGGATTTTTCGTTGTTTTGAGTCGTAAGTTTGCAGTTATTTGCGATCGTGGGGATCATGGGAGAGAATATGGGTCGGCTGCTGTCGAGAGAGTGCGACAACTGTGCGAGATCGTGGGTAGTTTTCGTTAGAGCCGTGGGGTTAGTTTGGTCGAAACAGAGGTATGAGCGACAATTTTAGGTTAACAATAGCCAGGGCTTTTACTTGTTGAGTATGTTGTGAGTATGACTATTGATTACTGAAATACATGTGTTTAATCATTATTATTATCGTTATTGTACGGATTTATCGTTACTGTATGGATTTAGTTACTGCACGACTTTACTGTTAATGCATGATTTTACTATTATAGCATTATTGTTCATGTCACTGTATTGTTACTGATACTGATATATGCACTGATACTACTGATGCACTTTATTGACATTATGCACGTGATATATTATGTAAGTGACATGTGATTCACTGAACATGTGATATAGATAACTGAATTGCAAGTGTACATCTTGATATGTTTCACTGATTTAATTGATATTACCGATACGAAGATTTCTTTAACGATTTAACTGTCTACAGAATTGACTGATGTTATAGATAATGACTACTACTGTAGAGATTTGACGCACGTATTGATTCATTGGGCTTTACGAACTTTTATACCATTTATTGATTCTTCCACTGATAGTGATAACTTCACACGTTCCTGTATTGATTTCTATTATCGTACTGATTACTGTTTATGCATTGCTTTCTGATTCTGCATTGATTCAAATGATCATGTGTAAGTGACTGTAATGATATGACTGATTGACATGCATATTGCTTCCGCACCGTACTTTGATTTCAGTTGTAGGTATTTGGTGACCTGCTGGGCTTTTTGAAGCTCATTATGTATGGTTAACAATTTCAGGTCTAAGCAAGGGAGTATGAAGTGTTGGTTGATCAAGACTGTCGATGAATCCTTTCACTATAGACACCTGGGATGTCACATTATAAAATATGAGCTTGATGTGTATTTGGATGATGGAGTTTTCATTGAGGAAGAAAATCCAATAGTTCATTTTGATTGCTTAGAATGGTGGAAGGCTAACAATCTAAAATATCGTATTTTGTCAAGGATGGCTTGTGACATTCTTTCTATTCAAATTACAACGGTTGCTTCAGAAGCCACCTTCAGTGCCGGTGGAAGAGTTATTGATCAATATAGATCATCTTTAAGTACAGATACAGTGGAACATCTTATTTGTGGAAGTGATTGATACTGTAATTTTTATGGTATAAAGAGAAAAGTGAAGGTATGATAAGACAAAACTTTTAATACTAGTTGGTGAAAATTTTCCTTACAACTACTAATTTATTATATTACATCTTGCAGATTAGGGAGGAAACAAAGGAGATCCCATTGGTTTGATAAGGAGCATAATATTTTTTTTTTTTTTTGATTTTTTGTGAAGAAAACTATTGTAATTTTGTTTAACGAGCTACTATATTTTTATAGTTTTGACATATATACATGCTTTATTTAAGTTTTGGTTTATTATACTCTCAACTTCTATTAGCTCATTGGTTTGAATTTCGTTATGTGCTAAATATCAATATGCTTTTTTTTATATAATGTATTTCTTTTGATAGTGTGTTTTATATGGTGTATTTTTTTTTTAGTTCTGACAGAACCATTAAAGTCTTGTTACAAATACAGAAGCACTGGCGGAACCGTTTAGATTTGAGGGGGGGCAATTGCCCCCCCTAAAAAAAAAGAAGAAGTTATAGTTAGGGTAGTTTAGTAAATTTGCCCCCCCCTGAAATAAATATTTTGCCCTAACCCACCCACTTTGTCGCACTCTCGTCTCTCGCAAGTCACAAAAAATCCCGCACAAGCAGAGGCGCAGGCGCAGCGCGATTTGGGGTTTCAGTTTCCACGGTTCGACCTTCGTCGGCGCTCAACGGCTCAGCCTTCGTCGGCGCTCAGCAGCTCGGCCTTCCTCCTCCTTCGACTCGTCAAGGAGGTCGCTAAAGAGTGAAGACGCGGTTCATATTTCAGCGGTTCATCCTTTCCTTCAGTAAACGAACCAAACATGAACACAAATAATAAAGCTCGAATCAAACACGAACCAAACATGAACAAGCTAATGTTAAACATACACAAACATGAACACACATACTCGGCTCGGCTCGGTTCGTTTGCAGCCCTACTACATACATATTCCTCTTGGAGTAATTTGATGGTAATGTATCGATCAACCGCATTGAATTGGTGTCCTTTTTTTAATATTGTTTGGGCTATCATACGTTGTTATAATTTTCATGGATGACATCATATAATCAATGCTTTTTTTTTACATCTTAGATTCATTGAGACAATTTTTTACTACTTTTTAAAATAATATTTTAGTATAAAAAAATTTTGAACTAGAAATATTTGTACTAAAAGATTACTTTAAAAGATATTAAAAAATTTGTTTCAAAATAGTCTTAGATTTAATTTGAGATAATTTTTTTATTATTTTTTAAAACAATTTTTTAGTATAAAAAAATTTATTAAAAAACTGTTAAAAAAAGTAAAAAAAGCCTTAATCTCAACTTAATTCTGATTTGAACGTTATGATCGTCACTGTCAGGATGAGATTATAGACTAAAATTGCCATAGCGATATAGCATGATGGGCAGAAGGCCAGATGGTCTGTGCACGAATCTCAAAGGCGCTTGAAATATACCTGCTACCCACCCATGACCCGGCTAAATGCCCTCCACAAACTCACAGTTCGAGAGAGGAGAGAGAGAAAAAAGGACGAAAATATTAATAAATATGCTTAAAAATGCTTTCCACTTTCACTGTGGCAACCCCCGCCCAGTCTTCTCCTCCACAAGCTCTCCACCGTCCTCTCCAATCACCACTAAGCTCACCTCCTCCACTAGATCGAAAATCAAATTCATTCATCTAAATTCTCCTCGTCTTTCTTCTTCGGCCTCCCAATTTGTTCGTTCCCAGCATGAGAGAAGCTCGTGACTTTCTCGTTGTCAATCGATCCCAACAACCATTTAATTCCTCTTCCCACTTCTATATCGAATTTATTTCCTTAATTTTCACTGGAGATCCAGCGTTCTAGTAGGTTACCTGCTAGTCGCACTTGGTTGTTCTTCAGACAAAGCTGACCCAGACCCATCATGGACGGTATCAACACTAAACAAATCACAGATACCACTTGCTCCACCGTCGCCGGAGGCCTCTTCGTGCTCCTATCCGACGATATCATCCTCAACATCTTCGCCAACCTGGAGTCTGACCCACGCGACTGGGCTCGACTAGCCTGTGTTTCCACCCGCTTCGCCTCCCTCTTACGCAACGTCTGTTGCCGAGACAAGTGTTTCCGTTCCTTACCATCCCTAGTATCCGACCTGGGGACAAAGCCCCCATCCGGTCCTCCCGGAGGCTGGGCTGCCCTTCACAAGATCTCCGTTTGCTGCCCTGGTCTCCTCCGCGCCGGAGTCCTTCTCGAAAACTCCGACTTTGGACTAGAACGAGAGATTGGTCCGGATGAGAATTACATCTGCCGGTCGCCTGCGCCACTCCTTCCCCCCGTCTTCGCTGAAGCGACCACCACCGCCGCTGCCACAACCACCGCCACCACCACCACCATCACAGCTAATACGCCTTCCCTTTCTCCTTCCGATTGCTGGTCTTTGTTTGACGATCTGTACTTTGATACCATCTATGATATCTCCGAAACTCATGATTCAACTCCCTCTCCACCTGAAAATGAAAATCTATTCCACGAAATGCCCCTTACAAATTACCAGGAAATTTCAAAGAAGAGAAAGATCGATGGTGTTTACAGCAGCCCGGTGAATGCCCATTTGGCCTCAGGAGCTTGGAATCTAAGCAGGGAACAAGGAAGCAAGTTACTGGCCACCAGATTCAGGAATGATTCCCTTTATATATGTGACTGGCCTGGATGCATCCATGTTGAGGAGAAGCGGAATTATAAGCTATTTAGGGGTCTGTTTAAGAATTTCAAGCACTCTAGGGTTTGGAGAACTATAAATGATAGCAAAAGGAGCAAGATTGGGCTGAACTGTGCCTTCTGTGATTGTAAAGAAATTTGGGATCTTCATTCTGCCTTCTGCTTGAGGACAGTGTTTGGCTTCCATGATGATGGAGAGCCTGTTGTTCGAGCTTACGTCTGTGAGAATGGACATGTTTCAGGGGCGTGGACGGACAGGCCAGTGTTCTCATGAAGAGTATGCCATGGGATTTGGATTTCATTAATATTTGCTTTTGATATATCCGATTTGACTCTGTGCATTTCTTTTTTAGTTTACTTGTTTAATTGGATCTTCTGTTTCTGATACAAATTAAAAGTTTGCCTATATATTCAGGGGTCTGCTATGGTATATTATAGCTTGATTGGGTTGGAACTGGGTATAGTTTTGTCAACTTGCATACTTAGGCGATGTTTAGCAGTAGTAGGATTTAGTGTAAATCATGCAAGACCAGGTTTAGTAAAACATAGGGCCTGTTTGGCAACAACTAGGATTTAACTTTAGTAGGATTTAGCTAATATAACTGTTAAATCCTGTGAAATTATTTGACAATGTAATCCAAGATTTAAGGTGATTATTTCTGCATTCATGTAGGCTGAAGGGTTATGTTGGATGAGCTGGGGAGAACTTCCATATTTGAGAGCAGCACATGGAGCCACGAAAGATGATTTTTAACTAATTCATGAAAAAAAAATACTTCAAGCAGCTTTATTTATCTCATAATCAGATTATTAGTGTAAATCTGCATTTTGTGAACCCTAAGATGTAATTAAAGATCAATATTTTAAAATCTGCTTCTACTTCGACACAACATGGACAACGACTGATTTGTTTTGCCCTCGAAAATAAGGATGTTTAATCAATGTAGATCTAAACAGAATAAGCCTACAAGATAAACAGTTTTCAATCATGATGTAATGATGCAGTTAAGATTTATTTGCATAACTTAAAATTGGAGCCATTCAATTCTCAAATACAACATAAAATGTAAATGAACTTCAGCAAATATAACAAGTAGCATAATGCAATTGTGTTATTACACCATAGCACAAGAAACATAGTACATTATAACAAAAGAAGCTTCTACTCAAATGCCACATTCAATATAGCTCCATCGCAGCATGCATTCAAGATGATCGGCGTCATTGATTAAATGCTTGCAAGGGTTTTAATACATTAATAAGAAGACTTTCTGAATTAAATTATTTTCTTATTAAATAAATAAAAAATTGCTCAAGATTCCCACATGTCGGTAGCAATTGAATGCCTCACTTCTTCACCTTGAGTTCTTTCACCTACAGTTGTATGTATGTATGTTAGTGTTTTCATCATTGATTTCAACTTCCGCCAACTCATTGTCATGCTGCATTTTAGTTTGTAACATATTGAAATACATGTCATGTCTATGGTAACGCCCAATAAAATTATGTAGCACTGCAAAAACAATCACAATATCGGCCTGAAGCGATAAAGGAAATTGGCATATAAGGGTTAACACCTGAAATCTTTCTTTCTAAATACTAATTGTTCGCTCAACAACATTACATAACTGTGCATGACAATGGCTGTACAATTAAACTAAAGAGAAGGTAAGGATCATTTTTATGAATGAGTGCACTTAACTGAGCTTTTCTATATAAGGTTTGACATACTTGTTAGATCCCTCCCAAACTTTGTCCGTAGTGCCAAGCAAATGCAAATTATCATCCCAACCCCAACCACTACGGTGTGAAAGTTGATATATTGTATGAAAATTAGACATCATGTTCTTGTATCATATCATCACAACAGCTTCTGTGCAACTCGTTCCTAGTCGATGATTGAGTGCATTCACTACTTCATTCCATGCCTACTTCCTTAGTATGCTGTTCATAATGTTCCCGCATAGGTATTGCTCCATAAGGAACTCTCCTAAAACAACATTATGATCCTTGGGCCACCTTGGTGTTCTATTTATGCACTTTGGTTGGTTAGTGTGGATTGAGATATCTTTGTCCAGACGTTGGTTAGTGCTTGAATGACCGCACTTTATAGATCTTGCTTTTAGTAATGTCTTCATTATCACTCAACAATTAACAATGTGATCATTTACATCTTAATTAAACATGTAGATAAACTATTTGATCAAGTGGTACAAATGTAATGAAAATATACCATTTTTATTCTCATAATTTTTATGTTGCTGTTCAATGCTTCTATACGGGAGGTAGTTGGTTTTGAAGACTTTTTGTTATTCAAGTTGTCTAAGTTGTCATATGTGGCAGAGTTGGGGAGTATTTTCTTGGATGGTTGTGAAGACATCGTGGGAGAGTTATTCGTAATGGTTTTTCCCCACTCTCTTGATTTTTCGAAGCTATACATGGATGAATAATACTATTAGCTTTGTCTATGTGTCCATGTCATCAAGTAGAGCAATGGTTCGAAGAGACTTCATTATGAAGTATTCAAAAAAGATTTAAATAGCTTTGAAACACGTAATGAAAGATAAGTAGTCATGTACATTGAAGTTAGAGCGAATGTGGCCCCTTTATCTCTCTAATGTGCAGATGATATTTAAGCGCATGTAAGTGAACTCTTGAAATGTAAACAAAAGATTTAGGGAAGTGCAAGACCTCCCAATTCCGATATAAAAAGCATAACAGCATAATCTCCACTATGGCTTAAAGAAGAATATAACTAATACTAATTTAAAAGGCAATTACACATATATATATTCTTTCTTTTTTCACTGGCATTCACCTACAAAAACCATAAACAAGTTTAAATTACATGAGGCAATATAATTCAGTATTCTTCTGAAGAATGAGAATTTGTCATGAATTTTTTTGAGGCAAATTGCTGGATTGGTATTAGGACATCTGGCATAAACCTAAGTAGAAACTCCACTGATGCTCTCAAAATTAATAGTAGTATTTTTTCCCTAAAAAATAAGAGAGATTGTTATGTGTGGAGTCAGACCGAAGCTGTGTTAGATTTTTGTAAATGTGCACAGTAAAAGCGTAATGGTGAACAGTAATCGCGTTTTTGCTGCGCACACTAAAAAAACAGACGTTCTCCGGTCTAAACTTTGCACGTAATAATATCTCCAAAAATAGCCTTTAAGGAAACCTCTATCTCATCACCAACAAAGTTGGATAGTTATCTTCAATCTAAAAGCTCCTCAATTATTACATCTCCATGAAAAGTAAAAATAGAAACTTTATCTATGGTTATTGAGTATGAAAAGCCATTAAAAAGTCTAGAATATTGACAAAAAGTAAGCCCAAGTTAATCTTTTCATTGAATACACAATTCTCTTTGGCCTATTGGTTGAGAGCTTAGGCTTCCAACTAAGAGGTTTATGATTCGAGTCTATGTGTATGCGTTGTGTGTATGAATTTACCTTAAATGACCTAAATGTCCCAAAAAAATCCTTTCATTGAATAATCTTTTAAACATGTCTTTTCCTATTGCAGACACCGCAAACAAACAAAAAAAGGAGTTATAACTCAGTTCGTCACACCGGAAGAAAACAATAACCGGCCTAGATGATGAATAAGACAAATCAATAGAAATACAAACATCAGTAAACAAATTTACTCGAAAAAAACATTTATTTTCTATCCAGGTCCCCTACTTCCGATCTAGAACATGCATGTATAAAAAAAAAAGAGAAAATAATAACCTTTGCGTAACGTAGAAATGCAATCGGGTTGAAGTGCGCAATCACAGGGCATTATAGTGGGCTTCAAAGCTTCGAACAACTACCTAATTGCGACATCCATAAAGAACAAAGGAGTTGTGAGAAAGAGGAGGCGATCTGGTAGGGAAGATGGAAGTACTGTTTAATAGAGTGCAATCCATGATCGGCTGGGACTGACTGCTCATGTCAGGGCGGAATGGTGAAGTTAGCAGCTGCGAGGTTGGAGTTTTGATCAACTTGCAACATGAAGCCCGGACGGGATGGACTGCTTGTGACAGGGCGAAATGGCAAAGTTAACAGTTGCGAGGTTAGATATGGACTTTCAAACAACTTGCCGCATGAAGCCAGGATGCCAGCATTTCTCACTCAAATTGTGCGGTAAGAAGTTTAATCCGTGAAATTTCAGAATTTACTAAATCCAGGATTTATGATAGAAAGGGGTAGATGGAGGATTTATTTTGCCGTGAGATTTAGCTGGCGCACAAATCCCATTTGGCAGGATTCAGTACAAATCCTGCTCAAAATTGGCATAAATCCTGTTGAATCCCGCATCCAAACAGCCCCTTAGGAGGATTAAAATGAAATTTTTTTGGGATGATAGCTGCCAAATCTTGTTATTAAATCCTGATATTTTGTTAGCTATTTGTTTTGGAATTTAAAATTTGTGAGAGATAAAAGTTATTTAATTCGTTAAATTTTGTGTATCAAACAGTTACTGTTTTGCATAATTTAAGCTAAATCTGGCAAAAATTGGATACAAAACACAGTTTTTCACTTGGGTTTTTAACCTCGTGTTGTGTATATACTTCTTATCTATGGATTTTCATTGGGATGAATGTGATTTATGGGTTATTCCTTAGTTGGTTTGCTTGATGTTTTATTTTGGGGTCTTTTTGGATTTTTATTCAATACACAGTTTTTATTGACGTCGTTTCCTATTTAAACATATTCTAACTTTATATTATATTTGTCTGATTGTATTTCTTAAAAATGCATGAATTTTAGAAATTCAAAATAATTAGAATATAAGCATCTTAAAAATATAAGAATTATCTGGTAGAATGAAAATCAGAAGCCTTGATTTTTTTTCTTAGAATGTAATTTAAGGCTCTCTCTTTCTCTCGTATTCATGTGATGAGCTCAAGGGATTTTGTCGCTATGGGATGGGGCATGGAGAAGATCGCTAGCGATAAGAGGACTTGAAGGAGGAAGGTGGCGAGAAGGAGCGAGTTTGTGTGCTATGTGAAGGGTTTAGGGGTAATTGAAGATGCTCAAGGGAGCTTGCCGACAACGGGAGAGCTTAATGGAGGTCATCTACGATAGTGATGGAGACGGGAAGGGTGGCAACATGAAGATGAGATATTAGTGTCACATGGAGAGAGTTGAGGGAGGTTGAGGACGACAGGAGGTGTTTAGGAAGGTCGTTGGCAGTAAGAGGGGCATGTGGGAGGCCGTTAACGAGGCGAGGTTGGTGATGGAGATGACAACGAGTAATAAGAGGGCTAGGGAGGAAGGTCAAATATAGGAAAAATAAAGTGTTTGAGATATTTCTAATATCTCAAAATTTTATTTTTCATATATTTTCTTTTAAATCAAACACAACAAAGTTAAGTTACAGCCAAACAAAATGAAATATATTCTTAATACTTCTAACCAAGTAATCCTTAGAAATTGAA